CCTATTAAATTTCTGTTATGTTTCATGTGTGACAAATACACATTTTTTGAGTCAGTATTTAATACAACTGGCAAAATAAATTGTTAAAATAGTTATGATGTGCTTCTGTTTTTAATTCAGGAGATTATTTAAAAAATCCTTCATGTTATGAAAAGACCCTCTTGATTCAAGAGAAAACTCCAGTTTTTTAAGAAAATGGCTGCTTATCAATTAATTGTTGGTCAATCTATAAGATAAATCAACTTCAGAGTAAATAATTAATCAATAACTTGCATCCCTAATTTATACAGGAATGAAATTAATTTTTATCTACTCATATTCGTGTAATTAAGCATTTTAATGATTTGGCCGATTAATCGATTAATCGAAAAAATAATCGACAGATTAATCGATTATTAAAATAATCAATAGTTGCAGCCCTAATTAGGGCTGCTGTCCCCCTCCTACAGCGCGGCCATTGGCAGTATCACTCCACCCCCTGTTAACAATAGGTGTTAATTAGGTGTGAACGATAGCCATGTGATGTGAGTATCAGTCACATGGAGGCAGGACTCAAAAGCCTGAATTTTGCCTGAAACTCTCAGACTGAAGAAGTCTYTTGGAAGAGAGACGAAACGTTTCCGTTTTCATAAAATTCAGGTTAAAGTCTGGTTTTCAGTGTTCTGCCTTCATGAAATACTGATTTTATGTTGTGTCGTTGATCCCAATAATTTAGTAAAACACTCTTCACATGACTGGAAAATGCCGTTTCGAGTCAATCTTTTACAAAACCTTTAGGGGGAGTATACCCCTCGACCCCCACTAGAACTGCTTGGGATCGTGCCCAGGAGGCATCAGTGCTAACCACTGAGCCGTCATGCTGCCAATGATATCTACAGATCCTTTGGTTCCTCTTTTTTTTAAAGTTCATGAAGTTCCACCTTCATGTTTCTACTTTGGCCCAGAACAGAACAAAATAAAACAAACTGGACCCTCGAGACGATTTTTGAAGTTTCACACAATCAGTTCGCATGAAACCGTCCAGTGTCGTGGCACCGCTAAATAAAATTAAATAAAAATTTTACAGGAGGATCATATTGTTGAAGCTAATAACAGCATCAGGTAAAAGCTAATTGATCCCTGTGAGAATTGGAGTCGTGCAGGTTTACGCTGCTGGGGAGACAGAAGTGATCTGCAGGGATTTAGACATGGAGACACAACACAGTGTGTTTGATACTGAATAAAATATGATACAGAATTAAAAGTCTAGCAGTTATTGAAGGAATGCATGTGTCCCGCTGCTTTTCTAAGTCCGAGTTTTACACCAGAATCATCGGGGGGCGGGGCATGAAGCACCTCATTTGGATTTAAAGAGACAGCCTCAAAAGAAGGCCTCATTAAAGGGGTGAAAGTGGGGCTTGTGGAGTTACAATAAGGAGGAACTCAGAATAAAGCATTGCATTTCCACTTTATTTAGACCCCAACTGGATGATTGAAATGTGAAAAAGGATTAAAAAGCATGATATGTCTCCTTTAAGTTCAATATCTATTAAACTGACTGAGTTGGAGGTATTTATGTGTTGCTAGTATTCTTTAGCTTCAGTGAACATTTTGAGTTTAATTAGTTGGAGATGTACATCCAATGATTTTTAAGGTAAAGACTGCATCTATACAAGTTTGCATGAAGAAACAAACTCTGTGTTGTGACATCAGATGAGATCACTGAGATGAGTTTTGGCATTTTGTCAACTTTTCCTTGAAATTTTTTGATGGGGGCGGGGTTATACCTTCACTTTTCTACGGGTTCCACCATAAATGCAGTGTGTTTTAGACATCAACAAGCCTTGTGGCAACTCTCACTGTTACACACACACAAATTTGTTTTGAACTCCCTGTGGGGACCGTGGATTGACTTCAGCTGAGTGAAGCTGACCCTTCCCAAGAAAGGCAAATGGATGAGTGGTTAGTGCATYGTTTGTGCGTGTTTGTGCACTTGAAATTGTCGTTTGTGCTACTATGTTTTTTTTTATATATTAAAGATTATTTGTAAGGGCCATTCAGGGGTCACCATCGCTCCAAAATGAACCAAAAATGAACCAAACTTGTCAAATTTTGTAGTGCTTTATTTGAGCAGGTTTGTGCCGTTGAAACAATTGTTTGTGCTGCTATAATTTATTAGATATTACATGTTATGATTTCAGACAATCACGTGACTTGGCCTGAATTGTTTACGACGTCATAAGACACGTGATCGTCCAAAATTATAATGTGTAATATCTAATAAATTATAGCAACACAAACAGCCGTTTCAACGGCACAAACCTCCTCAAACAAAGYACTACAAAATTCCACTAGTTTGGCTCATTTTTGGTTCATTTTGGCGCGAGCGGGCGGGATGGTGACCCCTGAATGACCCTTACAAATAATCTTTAGTATATAAAAAAYCATAGCAGCACAAACGACAATTTCAAGTGCAYAAATGTGCACAAACGAAGCACTAACCACTCAGAATATTTGCATTTTATTTTTCTGTGGTTCATTTTTTGGGAGGGGTCAGTTTCACTCAGCTATTGACTTCCATTCATTTTYCAGTCATTTCTATAGCCTAACCCTGACCATTTACCCCAAAACTAACCTCTCAGGTTATATACATTATATATACAGGTTCTATACATACCTGACACTAAATCTAACCTAAACTCAATTCACACTTTGATCCTAAACCAACCCCCCACCCAAATTCAGCCTCCTCGTGGGGACTGGACTTTGGTCCCTACGAGGCTGTTTTTTTTTTTT